TCAACCCTGAAAAGGGATAAATACCTCTCGCAAACTGCAGAAGCTTGATGCGCAGAATGAGCAGAAAGTTTACGAGCTCGAGCTGGAGAGTGACTTGACCAGGATTGAGGCTAGAAAGGCCCAGGATGAGGCCAAAAAGGGCAAACTCAAGCTCATGCACTCTAAGAAGGGCTTTGAGGATGGTTAAGGCTCGAGCTCAGGCGGTGGATGATTTCAAGAAGTCAGAAGAGTTCTGGAGGTTGCTAGGGCAAGATAGTTCAGGCTAATAGCCTCATACCATTATGGCCTGAGGTTTGCTCCCCCATTTTTACAAACCAAGCTCCCTGAAGACTTGAAGCCCATCGTTGAGAAGCTTAAGTCGATCAACAAGCTCACGAATGAGCTCGAGCTTTCTATGTCAAAGCTCAAGGATGAAGACGATGATGATGCTAGGACTCCTAATCAGGGCGATCTTGCGAACGCCGCCTACTTGGATTAGGCCCTTATCCCAAATTTTCTTTTATTTTGATGAAAATGTAACAAGTACATTGCCCAGTCTAGACCTATTTTTTTGAGAAATGCTAGTTTACAGTTCGATGTTTAGTCCATGAGTTTATTACTTGTTAGGTTTATGCTTTATTTTGTACAGACACATCGAACTTGAGCCTTGGTGCCTATGTTGAGAATGAGTAGCTTGAGCTTCTGTAAAGTTGTAAACTTCTAAAGGTATAGCTCGAATATGCTATGCGGCCATTGTTTTTGACAAGTAGCCCGAGAATTGTAAAAACTGAAATTTTAAAGGTATAGCTTGAGCATGCTACTTTGTCATTATTTTTGACAAGTACCTCTAACTTTGTGAAAACTAAACTTTTAAAGGTATAGCTAGAGCATTCTACTTTGTCATTATTTTTGACAAGTAGCTGGAGCTCGTATAAAAGTAGTGATATTTTAAAGTTTTAATAGGATCAACTCAGGCTATTTCGGATGATGTAGAACTATTCAAGCTCGAACTTAGTACACCTCCATATTGTGAGAGATCAAGGTCGAGCCATAAGGCTAAGAATTGCCACGTACTTGGGCTTGACCTTAAGCTCACTAGATGTTGTAGCTGTATGCACAGGGGCACGATCTTACACTAAATTGATGTTTTAGCTCATGCTCTGAGCACGACCTTACGATAAACAATGTTTTAATTGCACACACAGGGCAAAACCTTAAGCTAAATTAATGTTTTAGTTATATGCACGGGACACGACCTTATGCTAAATTAGTGTTTAGCTGCCTGCTCATGGCACGATCTTACACTAAATTGATATTTTAGCTGCATGCTCTGGGTACGGCTTTATGCTAAAATGGATGTTTTAGCTACATGCATCGGGCACGGCCTTACGCTAAATTGATGTGTTAGCTAGATGCTCTGGGCACGACTTGATACTAAATTGATGTTTAGTGCAAGTTTTTATCGTAAAAACAAACTCCTATATCATGATAATAAAGTAAGTATTCAAGGGCACCTAGGTCCAAACTAATGAAAACGAAAATCGTTCGAGGCATGCAAGCTCGAACTATAAAAGTAAATTGCCTATGGACATGCAAACCCAAACTATAAAAATAAACAACTTATGGGCATGAAAGCCCGAACTATAAAATAAACTGTCTGTGGTTATGCAAGTCCAACACATTACGAAGTCATCTAACAAATTGGAACTACGGCCAATTACTTATAATAAATTTTTTAGGTTGTCGGCGTTCCAAAGCCTTGGGAGCGACTTTCCCGAAGTGTTCCTGAGGTTGTACGCTCCGTCTTTTAATCTTCATATGACTTCAAAGGGTCTTTTAATCCTCAAGCTCCTTGATTCCCACACACACTTTCGTGAATTTCAGTTAGAGCTTGAAGTGATTTAGAAGGTTGAGACATCTTGAGATAGGGAAATGTTAAACTTCTAAGAAATAAAACTCATCCAATAATGCAATACCTTGGTGCTCGAGCCATAACGCTCCTTGCAACTCAGGGGTCAGATAGTAGGTTTCCATTACTTATGGATTCGATTATCGCGTCCATCCAAGAAGGCTCATGGTCAATATCCATGACACTCGTCTTTTGACTTATGCTAGGTTCTGTCACTTTTTTGATATGTGCTATTCTGTCAAGTCCATCTACTCCCATGAATATGAGCTTGGATAATGCATCGACCTTGCAATTGTCAGCTAAGGAAATTTTCAAAATTTCATAACTCTTGAATTTTCTTCGAAGATCATGCATATTTAAATAATATAAGCTCATTTTTTGTCTTTTCTTTCAAAAGGATCCAACTACCTATAACACTTATCATGCAATGTGTTTGTGTTGTATTGTAAGTGTTCTTTTTAAGTTTAAATTGAACCGTAATAAGTAAGTAATTTGGATGAAGATAAAGGTCATTGAGAATTATAGTTGCAGTACGATTAATGTTTTCTAGAAGGTGTGAGATAAGGATTTCGTTATCATGGCGTCTAGCCCGACCTTAACCTGGGGGCCTGAACTCGGTGCTTGGGTAATTGTGGAAGGGTAAGATTGGGCTATTGAGTTTGAGATCGAGCTGAAACAATCTTCGTGAACATCAATATCAATGAAGATAAATAACATTACTCTAAAGCGAAGGGAAATAATTTTATTGTGATACACTCGCCCCCCTTTTTTCCATGTTTTTATTTATTAAGGGTTCGTTTGATTGTAAGGATGAAATTTGAGTGGAAAGAAAACGAATCACAGAGAATTGAATTGTCTGGAACTTGTTTTATTAAGAATTGTCAATTAAATATGTTTGATTGGTATAATTTTTCACCTGAAAAATGTTGAAATTTTTGATCTTTTGATATTCGTTTGACTTTGTTTTCTATGAAAATTGTTAGTTAAAGAGATGAAATTTGTTACAATTGTGGATAGAATTTGTTTTCATTGCAATAAAAAAAAATAAAAAATAAAAAAAAGGATAGAAATCATTTTCTCATCAAAACCAAAGGAATTGGTTTTCACCAATTTAAGGAAAAAAAGGTCATGTGGGAGAGGGGGAATTTTCCATATCAAATTGGCCTAACAGAAACATAAAAAAAAAAAGGAGAATTTCGTAACTAAGAAATTAATTATGACACATTTCAAAAACAAGAAAACAAGTTTCAAATTTCTAAAATCAGATTTTTATTAAAAATTATTTATAATTTAATTAGTTAATTAATTATTTTATTAATTAAATATATTTAGGTCACGCATCTATACAATTTGGTCACAAATTAATAATATAATTAGTTACTTATTATTTTTTGGTCACAAATCAAAAATTTTATGTCACAAATTTTTTTACGATCATAATTCAAAAATTTTGTAAGTCACAGTTTATTTATTGGTCACAAATCCAAAAATAATTAGTCAGGGATTAATTTTTAGTTACGACTTATCATATTATTGGTCACAACTTATTTTTTGGTTACAAATTAAAAATTTTATAGGTCACATATTATTTTTCGATCACGAATAAAAAATTTTATAGGTCACAAATTAATTTTTCGATCACAACTCAATAAATTATAAGTCACAAACACAAATTTTATAGGTCACATGTTATTTTTCGATCACAAATCAAAAATTTTATAGGTCACAGATTAATTTTTCGATCACAACTCAATAAATTATAAGTCACAAACACAATTTTTAGGTCACGTATATTATAGGTCACAGTTTATTAAACGGTCGAAAATTCGTATATTTTTAGGTCACATTAGTCACAATTTATTTTTTTCATCAGTCACATTATAGGTCACAGTTTATTAAAATGTCAAAAATTAATATATTTTTAGGTCACATTAGTCACAATTTATTTTTTTCATCGATCACATATTATTTATTAGTCACAAATTAATCAATTTAATGGTCATAATCGACCAAATAATCTGTGACCACCAACACTACCAGCCACCCCTCACCGTTGTAACACAAACCACCACCACATGACAAATCACCAAAAACAATGAAAAACAAACCACAAGACCACCATCGTCACCGCAGATCGACACCACCATTTGCGACCACCACTATTGCCCCGACCACCACCAACATCACACCACGACCACTACCAACATTACCCCACCCTGCCTCCTACCTGTTCACCAAACCGCAACCCACCACAAGCCACGACCGTACCAAAACTGCCATCAACCACCACTAGATCGACCACCGCACCTCACCGTCCAAACACCACCCATCGCTGAAGCCACCGTCAAACAACCATTAGCAAAAAAGAAAAAAAAAATGCAAGATCTACCAACAAATCAAAACCACCGCTGCAAGTGAAGCTCGGAGGAGAGAATGTGAAAGAAAGGGTGAAGGCGGTGTGCTTTATCTGGTCTGAAAACAATATATCACCAACAAACCAGAACAAAACCACAAGATCTACCAACAAATCAAACCGCCAACATCGCCCAACCGCCATCACCTCACTGCCGTCATCACCACTTCTACCATCGCGGCCCTTCGCACCACCACTATTTTCAACCACCAAACAAACTCCTTCGATTTCGGCATTAAGCGACCAATTTGTTTCCATATCAAATTGGCCCCTGATTAGGGATTTAGGGTAGAGAGAGAGAGAGAGAATAAAGAGGAAAGGGATTAGGTTTGGCGTGAAAATCGGTGGGTGTGGGTTATTAATAAAATATTAATTAAAATAAATTTTCTGATTTCTGAAATGTTAAACTTCCTTTATGATTTCTGAACTCTAGATTTTAATGTCAGGGTTTTGTGTAATTTTCACAAAAAAATAAAAATAAAAAAAATTGAAAACTAACTATTGAAATCCCCAACATGGTACGGGAATCCACAATTGGCCAATCCAAAACTGCACATTGACCAACTTCCACACCATACACCTACCTAACCCAACTGTGTATTCAGACAGAAGGTGGGAGGTTGGGACTATGCACGAGAATCAATGTCCAAATTCTACTCTATCAAATTGCAAAAATAAAAATAAAATAAAACCACAAAATAAAAACGGGATTTCAGTTAAACAAACAGAAGGCAAGACTAAAAAATCACACTTTAATGGCACAATAATGAAAAGAAGATGGTGATTACTTTGTTTGACGATGCCGATCCCATTGTTCAGTCCTATTTTAATATGACTATTCAATACAATTAATAAGACAATTTAATACTGCATATCACTAGTGGTAGTGGTTGTTGAGAAGAGTCTCAAGGATTAATTTCTCCAAGTTCTGGTAGGAAGAGCCACCATGTTTAGCTGCCAACTGAGCCTTTTCTTCCCATTCCAGTGCCTTCTTTCTCATTTCCTTCCCCTTTTCCCCCTCCATCATCACTCTCACCATTTTCTCCACTTTCCCTCTGGTAACATTCCCTTCAATCTCCACTCCAATATCCCATTTCTTGCACGCGTATCGACAATTTGTTTGCTGTTCGGCGAAAAATGGCCAGCAAACCATTGGCACCCCTTCTGATATAGTCTCAATTGTTGAATTCCAGCCACAATGTGTTAAGAATCCACCAATTGCAGGGTGTGCTAAAACTTGTTCCTGTGGACACCAACCCACCATTAAACCTCTCCCTTTAGTCTCCTCCAAGAACCCTTCTGGTAAAATCGATCCTTTGCCATTCATCAAATCAGGCCTAATGATCCACAAGAAATGGTGATTGCTCTTAGCAAGTCCCCAAGCAAATTCCACCTTTTGATCAGGTGACAACGGTGTGATGCTACCAAAATTAATGTAAAGAACAGAATCGTTTTTTCTCTGATCAAGCCAATTTAAACATTCCATGTCTTCTTTCCAAAGGTTTGATCCAATGGATTTAAGGTTTTGCTCGTAAATTTCTTTCTCGAGCAACTGGATTGGACCTATAGTGTAAACACGATTGTATTTGGCTCGAATTGCTTCGAGAACTTCTTCTTCCAATTCATCAAATGTATTGAAAATGATGGC